TCAGATGTCTGAATCAAGTGCTTGTGCTAAACAAACTCCCACTCAGGGAAAAGAATGGAGTTTGTTTTCTTGGCTTACAGGATTTTTTTGGTTAGGAACAAGCCTGGCTGCATGCACACACATCCACATTGTCACTTGTAGGCACATGCTTTTGGGTGTTCTGGGCTCAAAGTTGCTTTCTTTTGTACAAGTTGCATTGGTTGGCATCTTTCTGACTGGTCTTCATAACATGGCTCAGCAAGCGTAGTATGCAGTGAGACACTGATTTTGTCACACTGTCTAAGCATACCAGACTTCTTTTATTAGGCCTACAGCCAAGGTTCAGTCTTAAATTACACACAGAAGATGTGAAAATCGAAATTACAAGGTAGGCCATACTTGCCATAATGCTGCTTAATTTGCTGTTTTGCAGAAATACAAAAAAGGTTTTCATCTCCTGATGGCATCTCAAATAATAGGTCAATAAAGTGGTATAATACACCGCACACGTGGCCTGTGAGCTGTGTATGACACATCAGATGTCCACTCCTAAGCTCATGTGGCCATCCTTTCTCCTGGTGACCTCTGAGATACAGGTCAAGTACTTACTACACATGCATATATTCTTCATGTGACTTTCAGGTCACGTTGGTTGTACTACCCAAGCACGCATCTTGCAGTTTAGTGACCTACTGTAGCAGTAAGGTGAGATACAAAATCCTCTATGGCCAGGAAATTAGACAGGAATGCATTGTACTGTCCAGTACAGGATCGATACAGCCTTTTGTACATCCTGGTGTAATCCTGCACGCAGGACATGGGAGACTGGAGTCTTGCTGTCATGTCTGTGCCTTTGTCCCACATCTTGGTATGCTCGTACGGAAGAGAATCAAAGATAAGCTGGCCATAATGCTGTCACTAAAAGAGAAGCAGGTGGGTGCTCCACCTGCTACTCTCTAGTACTGACCAACTTCTACAAAACTCTTCCTCCTTCCCTGATCACAGAACGCAAACACAATCTATGTGTACCCTTCAATGTAACTCTTAAAAAACTAGACTTCTAAAGATTACTCAGTTTAGTTTTCTTCAAGTATTAAAGTCCTTTTTTTCTATTTGTGAACAGATTTAAAAAACAACCAACCAACTAAACCCAGCTCAAACACCAAAAGCCATGGGCATGGTGGGAAGGATGCACAACTCAAGGTTGAGAGCTGGTCTTTTCACTAGATTGCACAGGTACAGTGACTTCAGTGGAGCTATAGCTTCCCAACCGCTGAGAGTCTGGTTTTCCAATTAAGGATCTCCTTTTCACATTAGGCTTTTGGACTCTGCTCTGCTAAATCAGACTGAAGTTTTGACGTGAAATGGTAGGTCTCCTCCAGATCCCACAGCCTGTACTCTCACAGGGAAGTAACTATGCAGTTTGGCATAGTAGGAAGCTACTGGCAGCCCTTGATTACCGAGGGCCAAGCCCTGTGGAGAAGTGTTTCTGGCAGGCTGTGTGTGGGAAGCTTACACACGTCTTCCTGTACTTTGTAAGCAGTTTGCACCTCTTAGTTCAGTTCCTCCCTTTCAAGTAGGGGATCCTTGTATTTCACAGAATCATGGCCCTAAACAGCATAAAATGCTGTTGTGACCACACCTGTTTTACAAATAAAAGTGCCCTCATCGGCCCCTACCACATTGTGTATGCTAATCGCACAGGACAGCGCTCAGAGGCATTGTGTAGTACAGACGTGATGCTGAGCATGCAGCAGTGAGTTTGGTCAGTGGTCAAAACAGCCGTAGTTAATTCTGTGCATTGTCCACAATGCACTGTTCTTGGAACAGAGCCCTTTTTATTACAAAATATTGCTGTTAGCTCATTCAAGAGACCAGCAAGCATATTCCCAAGTGGAATTGTTGTGTAGCTTTATTGAATTCAGTTTTGACGTTGAGAGTCCCTTCCATTGTTCACCGTTAAATACCAGCCCAATTTCAGACCTAAGACGTGTATCTCAGTAGCTCACATGTAAGAGGGAGAATGTTTAACCCCAGCACCAAGCCCTGAATGTGCATTGTCTCCTGCTCTTCTGTAAGTGAGAAGCATTTGCTGCAAGTGTAACTGGTGGGAGGACTCTCGCACAGCAGGGGAGCCACGAATTGCTTCAGCATGTGAGGTTTCAGCATCCCAGATGTTGACTAGAAGTAGAGACCCATGTGTGGCACTAGCAGAGAGGGAAAAAAAATGTGCTTTTAGCAACACAAAGGACTCAATTGCTTGCTCATTACCACCCTTTGAAAACAGTCCAAGTCCACTGACTGGTGTAGATGTGGCCCAGCTATGTATTTTCCAAGTAGATTGTTTCAGCCAGTCCTTTGGGATAGGAGAACAAATCTGCTTGAGGAAATGGAGACACGGAATCTGGGTCTTCCCTTTCTAATTTGCAAGATTGTAATGATACCTATATGTTACCTTGATATTGTACAGCTGATTGAAGTCTCAACTCTGGGCCTTTATCTGCAGGATGCATGTAAGAATATGGACTCTGTGTAGCTGTGACACACAGGCCGCTGACACCTGCGGGGTGTGCAGCTTGGCTGGGCATCCACACCAGTTTCTGCATCTGACCATCTAGCAGTGTGTTTGCTATTGCATGTAGCAATACTTTCAGTGCAGCTTTTTTCATTTTCTCTTAAAATGTGTAATATTTTAAGGGCTTTTTGGATGTTGCCAGCTGTCACAAGATTTCTGGGCTTTCCATTTTGGAAGGAGAAATTGAGGACTGAAGTTTTTGTGTTTGTAGTACTCCTTCAAGGCATGAATGTGCTTTTGTGACCTGACAGAACAACAGTGTAAGGTGACAATGAGATTTTTGTGACTGAGTAAGGTAACGTTAACACTTTAATCTATGTGAAACAGCTAAGAACTTCTGTGAAGCCTTGTCTGATTATTTTTACAATGGATCACCTAATTGAAGATAAGGAAAGGATCTGAAGTAATAGTTTATCTGGAAAATGCAGCTTTGGTGCTAACAAGATATTGGCAAACAAATATAGCAAATGAAAAATTATATGAAAGACAAGTTTTTTGTTGTTTTTTTTTTCAGGAAAGTAAACTTTTGAGTTTTTATTTAGAAAATTACCGGTAATATAGTTTGCTTGTTTAAGAGCTAAATTACATAACATAAAGCTCATTCTAAATCACTGAGTTGGCCCAATTAAAATAGACAAACAAAACAAAACTTCCAGAGCAACACAAAATTAATTTGGATGGGAAAACAGGCTTAGACTAGCGATGGTCTGATTTCTTCACTGTGATGGCAGTGTTTTAGGTTGGCTGGGTTTGTTCTAACCTTTACCTCTTGGAGGGGTGTTTTATGGGTTCTTTGCTGAAAAGCGAAGTTGTGATCATTTAAGAATTGCATGCTACCCCCACTCCCTCCGCACACACACTCCCCTGTTTCTCAAGAAATTCAAATTAACATGGTTCCACTTTAGTTATTTCCCCATTTATTATGCACTGGTGTCATAGAGGAATTAAGCACATCTTTGCAACCAGTTTCCTCTACAGTTTGTTTGGGAAACAGCAAGGCAAAAATTAGGTGGGATTGTAAGAAGAGCAGGGAAGGTGTTCCCTTATTCCCAGGAACCTCTTTCCCATCTTGGCTTATTCTCCGAGGCGTATAATGCTCAGACTAAATCTTTAGGAGACCCTCTCTGTATTTTTTTCCCTACTGTTCCGTTTTTCTCAAATTCAGACTGGAGTGTTTTGTCCTTCTGAGAGTGTTTAGGAAAAGCTGTAGGTTATTGAGAGGATGCAAAGAAGGAGCAAAGCATATCTGTACCTTGATAATGAGAAAATATTGTCCTTTGTTTGCAGTATTCTGGTAAGAAAAATAGTGTTGCAATACCCATGTATTAATCTAGACTGCCTATTGAATAGTGATGTGTTACACAACCCCTTCCCTTCTGAAAAGGGAAATGTTTCTGAAAGACCAGTGAATCTTTTTCATATACTATTTTGTAAGTGGGGAAAATATGCTAGAAAGTGTTTCTCACAGGAACGTATTTCTTTAAGTGAACAGGCTTACACACAGCATCAGAAGGGTACGCATCTATGTAGGAGTGGTAGGAACACCGGGACTAATGTAACTTGCTTCTTATCGTCTCCTGTCATCTAAAAATCCCAAAGCACTCCAAGAAATGCTCATTGATGGAATTTGCTGGTGATGGTGTTAGCAGCCACTCTGCAGGCAGGTGAAAGCACAGCACAGGTTAAAGGCTGCTGCGTTTGCCGTGACAGTGCAGGTGTCTGTGCTTGCATCGGCAAGGACTTGCCTTTTGCATTGCCGGGAATTCATGAAAAGGGAACTGTGGGCCTCTCGCCTGGTGGCAAGAGTGAAGTCCAGCTGGGCCAGGCCATTTACAGGGCCATGGTTGCTTACTGGGGCATTGGCCCGGTGTTTGTTGCTTGAAGAGGTTAATCTTTTGGGATAGGAACCTGTACAATATGATCTTACAAAGGGGAGTTTGGTGCTGCCTTCTTTCAATAATGTTTTTCTGTTACACTCTGCAAAATTTGGTGTGTCTTACAATAGTATCTAGGATTGTTGCAGCGAGCAACTAGTTTTCTTTTTGAAATGTTAACTTCAGCCCTAGAGTTAAACCAGTCTCATAGTTTCTAAAAACAGAAATGAAATCAGGGTTGTAGGTTATGCAATGCCTTTTTTTTTTCCTCTCTTTTGAGGCATTCCTTATTCTTGCTCTGATTGATTGTGATAGTTCCTGTATTTCCATATCCATTATATTCTCTAAGTTAAACAGAGGTGTTGGCTAATTTCCCCAGCACTCCTGTGAGGCAAATAATGGAATCAGATACAAAAATTAATCGGTGTTTCCCAAGGCCAGGCAATGAGTCATTTTGTGTAGCAGGAACAGGACCGTGGGTATTGCTGTCGTTCAGCACCGCGTTCCTCTCCCTCAGCCCGGCATCCTTCCCACACTGAAGGGAGTAGCTGGGCAAGCACAGCTTCAGTAAGGACAGTTGTAAACGATGAGTTAGCCAAGACTGAGGAGTAAAGATTTTTCCAAGGATGTTGTAATACGGCTGTGGAGCCTCCTCCAGTTACGGCTCTGGCAAATGCCGTTTGCACAGTGACAGGTCAGCAGGGATGCAAAGCGGGTAAATGTACCAGCTCTTGCCATGACTGGGCTACAGACGTGTGTTAGTCTGGTCTCATGGATTTCTTTCTTTGGCTTTATTGGGCTTTCCCATCAAAGTTTGCAAAAAAGGTGTGAGGAAAAATATGTTTTGTTGTGAAGCCTTCTCAAAAGGGCTTTTTTAGTTATAATTTTCACGAAATTCATAATCAAAAGCTTATCTGTAGATTATCGATAGCTAAAACTGTACAGGTTTTTATTATAAGCATGTGTGCAAATTCACTTGTGCGCTTGGTTTTCAGTTCTAGCACCTTTTTTGGTTTGCTTCTTTGTGTCTGTATGCTATTGCCTTTCAGTGGGTTAGGCACCTAAGCATTGCACTGCAAACAAAAGGCATTTGAAAGGAAGTTCATCTTGTGCTGACTTTTTTTTCAATATCAAACATTTCAGACTTGCACTGCACTTTTTTTTTCTGAACTTGTATAAAATCTTGTTCCGAATTGTGAGTAATTTGTGGTGCATAGCATCTCTCTATTAAAGAAACGTAGAAGTTATTGAGGGGAAAGTCTGAGCTGAGTTGAACTGTGCAAGAGATTTTTAGTGTGGTGATTTCCATGGCATACCTTTCAGCCTCTGAAATCACACCATTTCCATGGCACCACGTGCTGTATTAGCCATTGGCTACCACACCTGTTAAGTAAAGAACATCACTCTAACAGCTCACAAGGCTGCTTGTATCTTGAAATGCTGTGTAAACACAGCCTTCCTTAATCACTGGCCTCTTGAATAAATTAAACCTCTTCACGTTTCTCCCTGGACCCTGGCATTAAAAAACAGGACAAGCAAAATCTCTTGAAGTTTTATGCTGCTGGTTTAAGCAAGGCTATTGGTTCCCTAATCACAAAGAACAGGTTAAGTAATTCTTTAGTGCTTTGTCGTTCTTGCAGTTGGCAAGCTTTCCCCAGAGGGATGGCATTTCAGGTATTTTCCTTGAAATAACTATGAAAGTAAGCTAAGGTAATCCTGACCTGGACATGGCAATGACTTGCCAGTTGTGGGTAAATGTAGGTGTAGCTCAGCTTTCACAATTGGGAACTGGGGTCCACCTAAAGCAGCACCACCGTCTGAGGTTGTCCCCTTTTGTATTCCCTGCCCAGTTGCTCTTCCTCTGGCTCTCGGAGAGCGTTGTTCCTCCCTGGCCTGTCAGGATTGGGCCTTGGTGAAGAAAGTGATCCTGTCAGTCTTGCACTTACCTATGGTGACGACTCTTCAGCCTGGAAATGGGTGAAGGTGCACCTCAGCCTTCTGCAGGGAAGGGTGGGAGCAAGATGCCTCTGTAGTAAATGTAACAGTGTAGCCTCAAAACCTTGTTTTTTACTGTTGGAAGTTTCCATGGAGCTATGAAAACAGAATCGGAGAAAAAAGCCAGGCCAAGTCACTGCTGCCAGCTGTTGGTGTAAAATGGTATCTATAAAGTGAGTAATCCGCTCACTGCTCTATATATGGCTATGGAAACATGAGACCTTCAGTGCTTGAGACAGCAGCATGTTTTCTTTTTCTGTGCTTTGCGTCCATGCCGAGATCAGTGGAGTCCCTCTGAGGTCTCACTGGAAAGGTGGTCTCAGTTCTTGTGATCAGTTCTCTGTGTGTGTGTGCTGCATACCAATAGCCTGGGACCCTGAGCAACCGGACAAGGCTTTCTCAGGCCCACTGAGTTCAAACAGTCTCTACCACATGAGAGCTGGACTCGTTGTAATTGACTTCATCAATTCGCTGTTCTGATTCTTGGTGTATAAATGGTTGCACTGGATCAAATTTTAGGCTTTGGTAACAATGGCTAACAAGAAGAATACCAAATGGTGTTTCCTGTGCTTACTAATGCACTTGTGGAAATTTTCCCTGTTGGACCTGTTCTGGTCATGGCTTCTGGTCTTCACTCAGGAGAAAGCCAGTGCAAAGAGAGTAGGCTTTTGCAAACGAGTGTGATGATACTGCCTTGCTGAGCAAAGCAACCAGAAGAGTAGCTACCTGCACTAGGTCTAGACTTCGAAGTGAGCCTTTAGACACACACTGTAAATTTGACCCACCTCATCCAGCAGAAGGCAGGTGGGAACAACTGACATTGCAAAATAAAAACGTTATGGGTTTTAATCTTCCTGTTTTGTAACATTCGTTTTTTAGGAGTTCAGTGGGCTTTAAAAATCTCTCTGAGTGGCTGATGCCAGGCTCTTCTTTAAAATGTCTCAGCAGACTCCCTGTCCATGCAGCATTGCATGACTTGCACTGTCCCTGCACTGGTTGGCAGAGGAAAGCGATTTCTCTGAGGCAGGATTTGAACAACCGGCCACATACCAAGCACACTGAGTCAGTGCCAGTAAATTCATTAGTCCTGAATCACCACTGAGCTCTTCAGAGACACTTCACAGAATCGCTCGGTTGGAAAAGACCTCCGAGATGATCACGTCCAACCGCTCCTGTCTACCCCCTAAACCATATCCCTAAGTACCTCGTCTACCCGCTCTTTAAATACATCCAGGGATGGTGACTCCACCACCTCCCTGGGCAGCCTGTTCCAGCCTCTGACAACCCTCCCAGTAAAGAACTTCCTCCTTATCTCTAACCTGAACCTCCCTTGGCACAGCTTGGTGCCGTTTCCCCTTGTTCTATCCTCCATCACCTGGGAGAAAAGACCAGCACCCACCTCTCTGCAACCTCCCTTTAGGTAGTTGTAGGTGGTGATGAGGTCTCCCCTCAGCCTTCTCTTCTCCAGGCTAAACAACCCCAATTCCCTCAGTCGCTCCTCATAAGGCTTGTTCTCCAGACCCCTCACCATCCTTGTGGCTCTTCTCTGAACATGCTCCAGAGTTCTCTGAACACACTCCAGAGAATCACTACAATACATGTGCCTCTCCAAACATGAAAGTTAAGTTCTCTTAAATACTCGGTGCCTGTGTCAACTTTAATTGAAGATTTTGTTTCATTCATTCCACCTGAGGCCATATCTTCCCTGCAAAAGAAATCCTACCTTTTGCCTGGGCCGGCTTTCTCAGGGTAACATCTCCTAAGAGCAAGGTGACTTCCCTGGAGACGCTGCTAACTGAAGCAGCCAGGCCTTGTTCCCTCTTCCTTTACCAGCTGCATCAAGAAATAAATTACAAGTGCTTATGATTTTGGTTACGATACTTCCCTTATGGTTTTAGGTTAAAAATGCTGAAAAATTGTATTTAAATCTGTTCCCTCTGTGCTATTCTGCTGATCTTGCAGCTGTGCCACATTTTCATGCAAACTGATCTTTTTATTTGCTTTCATCAGCAATCTCTCAACTGTAGAAAAGGACATTAAGTGAAAAATGTTTCAGTTCTACTTGAGATTGAAGAGATTACTAATTATGCCATTTCAAGATTGTCAGAAATAAAATAGGAATGTCTGTTTAAAACCATTGAGAACCAAAAATTCTGATGTTTTTAACCTTTTCGTTTGTGGATTCCTAAGATTTGTCCGGTGAATAATGGACAGCAGACTTGCTATTTGCCTCAATACTTTATATGCAATCTGCAGTTCACCCTGAAAGCTGCCGCCGTAACCTGTTCCATCAATAAATAAATAAACTGGATTTATGAAGAGGAATCGGATGAAACAACTTGGATCAAAAAGAGATTTTTCAGATCACTGTGTCTGGCCTGTGTCAGTGGGGGCACTCTGATGCCAAAGCCACTGATAAATGCAGTACGTTTCAGTTCTCCGTGCTATGTTGGTGGATGTAGGTTTTTTATCCTTGCTGTTACATTTGCGGAGGGAGCACGATCTAACCCAAAAGCACGTGGAAATGAAACTGAAGTGAGCAAATGTGTGCATCGTGCCTAACAGCTGAAGTTAGGCTATTCCTAGTAAAACTTTGCTATTTTTTTTCCTCTCCCCCCTAGGTTTTTGCTGAGCCCTCCATCAGTCTGTTTGCTCTGGAATGCTGCAAGGGCAGAGAGCTGCACTTCAGCGAACCCATCAATTCTGTTTTGAATGAGGACCTTCATTTTTACACACAGTCTGTATGGGTGAGAAGTGGATTGTAAGTATGGAAGAAATATTCTTGTCAGTTTTGCATTTATAGGAGCTAACACTGAGCATGCATTTTCTCCCAACTACTGCTTTTTTCATAGGATGAGGTTTACTAACTAACTTTTATTTTGAGACAACATAAAATCCTAAACTGTGGTTGAATGCTGGACCTACATTTTGTTGCAGGACCTGAAATGAACAAAAGCTCTGGGCAAAGGGTGCACTTTTTTACCCTGTAAGAATCGTCCTTTTATCCTATACAGTAACAAACAATAGAGCCTGTTGTTCAAGCCAGGAACCAAAAGTAAATAGTTTTGATTGCTGACTTACAAAGACAGGTAGAGTAAACTCGGACTGCTTTTATTAACTGGCTGTAAAATACCAGCTATAAACTGCAGTGATTTAACTTGAACCACCACAGTGGTTCAGTGAAGCTTGACGGGCTGATCGGTTGCCAAAGAGGCAGCAATTTCTGAGCAGCTCAGGGCGGATCTGACAGCAGGAACAGTAGTTTGCTTCTGTGATTAGTTTAACCCCCCTCCATGAGTGTGAACACACACCCAGGGCCTTCTGTGAAAACCATTTTCCATCTGCAGAAGTGACCTTCTAACCTCTTCCCCATCTACCCCTTCCACCTTCTGGCGAAACTCCCAGGTATTCTGTCTCAGCCAGGTTTTCAGCCTCCACATCCACAGCAGCAAGCAGCAACTTCCAGAGTCTCATCCTGCAACTGAGACCAACTGGAAACTGCTGTTCTTACAATGTGACACAGACTTCCTCTGTTTATTTTTAACCTTTTCCCCACCTTTTTCACATGGACAAGACTCTGATTTTCTTGAGAGATCTTATGGGATGACACAAAACCATGCAAAATTTGAACTAATTGAGCAAGGAATTATTGTAGCCTGCTCACAGCTCAAGTATCTCTCTGTTGTGAGTCTTGCTATGAATTTTTCAAACGCATCTAGTGTGTTACCACCTAGAAGACAACCCCCTTCTACAGATGTCTGCAATAACGCTGCTGAGCGCTCCTCTGATTCTTTGAGGGTGGTACGAAGGCTAAGCCTAACCTAGCTAAGGTTCCAGTTTTCTGTGGACTGTTCTCATTCAGGAATTGCACACAAGTGTTTTCTTGAAAGGCTGATTAAGGCTTGAACCTCCCTTTTTTTAAGAGCAGTCAGTGGTGACTGACTTTAGCTGTGGGCCCGTAGTGAATATAAGCTTCCCCACAGAGTTTTGCCAATTCACAGTGAATTCTAGTCCCTAATGTCTGTACCACTTCCATCTTGAGCCCTTGCTGAAAGAATACAGAGTGCCATCATCTGTTGCTGTTGTCTTGAGGTGCCCCAGTTGAGAGTGGCTAGCAGCTGCCATTTGAGACAGAACAACATATCCATATGCCCTGTGATCTGTGCTGCTTTGGAGAAGGAAAGGCCTTTTTTGGGAAGAACATCTGACTTACTTCTGGTGGAGGTGTGTAAATCTTCATGCCTCTCTCAAGGTGTTACAGTCTAAAGTGTGTCCTGTTGGGGAGCATCTCTGTGTGAGCTTTCTCCACCCTCTCACCAGCGGTGTGGAACTGGAAATTAAATCACTGTGCCCGTGCAGATGGCTGTAAAGGGGTGGTGATGGCTTTGGAACCACATAGCAGAAAAGCAAGGGTGATGAGCACAACAGCCCAGCCCCTTCTAGATCTTCCTGTTAGTTTCTGAGTATCCAAGCCAGGTTATAGCTGGTTCCCTGTCTCTGGGAAGGGTCAGGGCAGAATGGCTGGGCTTTCTCTGAGCTCCTTGTGATGCTCCCTAGCAAAGAGACCTCCACTGCCTGTCCCCATCCCACGCTGTAGATAGGCAGCCCAAAGGTTGAAGGTGGCAGGTGATCGTGGGAAGTCTGTGGGATGTGCTGAAGAGTTTGTTTGCCTTATCTGTGATCACAAGTTCAGGAAGGTGGATTTAGATGTATTTTTTTTGGCTCCTTGCCCCAGAGCCTACTGTCAGCTTTAGACAAATGACAAAGACTTATGTAAATACACCCATGGCATCTTGCTGCCAGGCTTAGATACAAGGGTCCTTCCTGAGCCAACTGACCACCTCAGATGGTGGTTCAGACCTGGCTTCAGATGGTTATTACTGTAACAGTCCTTCCTCTCTCTGTTCCCTATAAATGTCTGCTTTGGCACCAAAAACTCCATTTCCAGTGAGACTGTTTGATGCTCTCAGAACAACGTTAACAGTGAACTTTCTGTGACTTGACAGAAGGCATCACAAGAAAAGAGTCGGGAATGTGTTAGAAGTGTAAGGAACACATGGTAGTGGTCAGGCTGCTCAGCTCCTGCTGTTAGTCAGGAGGTATGGGACTTAAATTGAAGATACAGTGATACAGCTTCATTACAAGGCAGTTCACTGTTGGCACGTTTTAGCCTCTGTGGCGTCCTGAGCAAGGCTGACTGGCAGTTTCTCCAAATTACGTGCACTGAGGAAAAGTAAATTACAGGTTCTGTGAGCGCTGTTGGTGGATGTTTTCTCACTGACTTAGAGTGCAGCCGTCCCTCGTGTTCTTGGCAGCTGACCTGTAAAACAGGTAAGTGGGGAAACCAGTGTTTGCTTTGTGTTCAGATGAGTTAATAAGTCAAGCATTTCGGGTTCTCTGTCTGCACAACAATGTCCTATTGATATAAACAAAACCCATCTGTGATCCGGAGGCTGTCTTTGTAAGCAACACCACAGTATTTACTGAGCAGATGCCTAGATAACAAGGGATCTTGTATGTGCCAGTGCTTTAACTCTGTGTTGAAGGATTCAGCCATGGCCATGGCTCAGATATATTTGCTACAGGAAAGTCTGTTACAGCAATGTATGTAAGTTTTCGAGTAAATATTTTGTGCGTGTGTTCAGACAAGTGGAATAGCTATAAAAAGCTTTAACTGCAACAAAAGAAAATATTGGACACGATCCTCTCATAATTAATACGTACAACCAGGCAAAGCTGCAAGTAGTGCAGTCTGGTGTGTGGCTTCCCAATGCATGCCCACTGAAACCTGCATTATTCCTGTCTGGGTTCATGCAGAGGTATTTGTGGGAAAAATCAGGGGAGCTGGGGAAGTCGAGTTTACAAAGTTTCATGCAGACAAATGGAAAACAGATCTTAATTTAGACAGAAAACAGGCCTTAAGGTAGACAGAAGACAGTTAAACCACCGAGATGGATGGCATTTCACAGCACGGTAATAGAGGTTTGATATTAGCACTACCACAGAGAGGTTTGGAGGCTTTCAAGAGCACAGTCGTGAACACAAGCCCGTGGTTTAGTTTTGCTGTGGTTAATGTGTAGTCTTTCGTGTTCTGTTTTCTGTATCCAGGTGGATTGCATATGAGGGATGTAATTTTTTAGGAAAGCAGATTCTGCTGGAGCCCAGTGAGATTTCAAACTGGAATGAACACAGCGGCTGGAAAGTAATTGGCTCCCTTCGTCCTGTGAAGCAGGTACTGTAAGAGCATATGAGGACAGTTCTTGGACCACCATTAGTGCACAACCATCAGCTTTACCACTAAGTATAATGGTTGCATTGTGCTCCTTAAATCAGGCCAAATGATGACAGCCAGAAGGACCTACTGGAAGATTGCTGAAGCAGAAAATTCCTCCAGTGGCAGTTATTGAGATCTATATTAGGCTCTTAAAGGGAAATAATTCCTCATTTTTCAGAGCCAAATTTTGTTTTTCTGAATGGCTCATTAGCGTGTTCTGTGGATGCTCTATTTTTGCCATATAATAAGAAAAAACAGTTCTGCATTGGCTTGTTTCATAATTAACAGAAATGGAAGCAAAAGCAAATTTTACTGTGCTGTAGCCTGGATTTCCAAAAGAAGTAAAGTTATTGCAGTCCCACCGGGTTTTCCTCCTCTGCCCCACGCCAAGGAATACCAATTTCAGTCTCATTCAGAGGTTCAGGTCTCAAAACCACACAGTCCTTAAGAGTTTTGTGAAAGGTCCATAGGGAAGCAAGGCTGAGGTACATGTCCCTCATTCAAGGAAAAGCAGGTACGGTTCTGCTGCTCTGCCTTTCCAAGAATCCTCAGGTAACAGGGTACACACACAAACTCCAGACCAGTCACTCCCCGTGTTGCTGCATGCCCAGCCACACGGCTCGGGGAGGGCAGCGTCATGGGGAGATGGGCAAAGGACAGGGGAGAGAGGCAGGGAATGGGAGCAGTAACTCTGCTGGGAAAGTTTTTTCATTAGCTCTGCTTCTCACAGAACAACTTCTCCCCACTTAGTGACATATCCTGCCTTATTACTGAACACTAGAGACAACTGGGGAAATGTTGCAGTGAACAAAAATAATAATCTTTAGCATTAGTTATGCATTATCTCCTCCTCCAGAAAAATAAAGGATTCCCACCCCCCATGCCACCGAAGACTTCTTAGTCTAAGAAGTTGACAGCTCCCTGGGGATTACTTTAACTACCAAAGAATCCCATTCTGGCTCTGTTTTTGCAAATATTAATGAAAGCAATTCATGCTGATCTTAAAAACAGAATTTTCAGCCAGCAATCTGAAGAGCTTTAGTATTCGATAGCATCCTTCTTTACACTGCAACAGTGAGCAGTGCTATAAGGCCTGCTTCAGCTGCTTTGCTGAGACTTTGGCGTTTGGGGTTTGTGTTCATTTTTGTTGAGACTGGAGTAATACTACGAACCTGCACCACTTTCTATTACTTCCTTCTGTCTCCATTACAAATTACACAAAGGGAGTGCAAGAAAAAGCGCAACATTTGAAATGCGTGCAAGATGAGACATGATTTGGCTCAGTGACTTTATAATAAAATCCCTTCCTTGTAAAGAACTATATACTGTACTCACTAATTAAAGTTAGTTTATGGATACTTGGGGGGAGAGAGAGGCTTTATTGTATCTACTGAAAACCAGGAGGTTCAAAGCTCCCAGAAGATGCTGGGATTGACTTGGGGTTTGAGCAGACCTGCTCTTCATTTGTGCCAGAATTGGGGATTAACAGAAGAAAAGGTGAAAACCTGTAGTAGCCCTAAAAAATCTATTTTTTTGAGTAAACTGAGCAAAGAGGGATGCCAAATCAGTATTGTAATCCAAAGCAAGGGTGTAACTTCTCTGCCATATATTCCAGTTAATGGGGCTGAAGTTGCTGCATATGTGGCTCACTGAGTCTTGTGTCCTGAGCATAAAAAGCTTGTGGAGTTACTGCCCACTTACTGGCATCGGAATGAGCAAAATGTGCTGAACTGGAGAGATTTGCATATGACAGGAATTAGTTCTAGAGACATAAATACATCTTTAAAACTCTCTCTGCCATTGCTACTAATAGCTGTTTGTGAAAAACACTTGGAGCTGCCTTTCATGCACGTTCATTTCCAACAATTATTTAACATCCTCATCTGAAACTGGAAATTTTTAGAAATTGAAACTTTAGAAAACTGATGTAAGATGGAGAGGCACTCTCACATCCACTTTCTTAATCTCTGTGTTACAACCATCTTCCTTCATGCTATTTCAGCCAGCAGTGTACCTCAGGGTGAAGAACCGAGCCCAAGGTAAATATCTGACAGTCGCTGGAAGCCTTGCAGATATACGAGCAACATCGGTGTGCGCGTCCCCGTACAACGGCAAGAATACCCAGATCTGGCACTACTGTCGTGGACTCTTCAAATCCAAGGTGAGTTTCTGGATGCTGGAAGGGGGTGAGTTGTATCACCTACTGTCCTTTCACCTGCACTTCCCGCTGCTTCTGTCAGCTGGCATTAACACCTGGATAACTTCTGGCCTCTCCCATGCACCTGAACCCAAAACTCTTATAACCTGCATCCTCCTATTATGTACAGACAGATTAGGTCTGTCTGCTTTGGCATGTTGGGATTACTTTTCCCATCTGTCTCATGGGACTGATGTTCCTGGAAGTAGGAACCTGATTTTGTCTAAAGCCGCAAATTTAAGTTTGTTACCTCTAAAGAGTTAAGAATTTCTCTGAAAAGAAAGATGCGAAGAAGGGCTGTAAGTGATGTTGTGGTAATGTGCCCTTGACAGTCTGCTGTTAATAGAAAACGCTGATGATTTAGCATAAGAAACACCCAAAGTAACAAAGACCACCTCCTTTGATCGAACAGCTGGTCACCTGCTGAATCGTCTGTTCCCAGCTTGCTTGCCAGGCTGGTTACCCGTGATGACTGCAGTCTGCTCCGTGCCTGAAACAGGAGCAAGTCAGACACAAAACTGAGGCGCTGTGGCCTGGATCTCACGTCTCCTCTTGTTCCTTAGGCGAACAACGCCTGCCTAGATGTCATCGGTGGCAGAGATGTGCCAGGGGCCAAAGTCGCGCTCTGGACAGAACACGGGAAGGACAGGCAGAAGTGGAGACTCAATGAGGATGGAACCATCAGTTCGTACCTCAGTGATGAACTGGTGCTTGATATTAAAGGTAATTTTGGGGAAAAAAAAAAAAGGAAAAGCAACTAATCCTCACATGTTCCAAGAGCATTTTTTTGATTGAAGTTAATTGCCGTATTCCAGCTCTTTTTGTGCTTAAGGTTAAATGCTAAATCCTGTCTTTCCTGTTAGGTTTATGTCCGGTTGCTTGACAGTGGGACAAGAAACAATAGGGGAGGGGAAAGCCTTACTCTTTTGATTCCAGAGGTTTATTTTGATCAGATCAACTATTCTACATCAAGGAGCTGAGTAGTGCTGGTGGCAAGAAATGTAAGTTACAGATGACAGAATGAATGAAGAGCAACCATGAAATAAGTGTAGCCCCAAAAAGAGGAAAGTGCTCACTCCTAATGTTTTCAGGGTGGTTGAAGCTGTCATTGTTCAAGTCCTGGTCCTTCTAATGACCCATCGTGGTACAGGTGCCTCACTGGAGAACGCTTGTTCCTCTCACACAACTGGTTCAAGACCTGCTGCTGGCGGGAGGGTTTTATCCCTAGGGAGAGGCAGTGGGGCAGTGACTGCAGAGGCTGGTTGTGAGGCTGGGGGCTCTGTGGTGCTCTCCCCTCAGAGGAAAGAGCTAAGAATGGATTGCCTAACACCCCTGCAGGGCTTACAGACCAGGGTAGCAGCGCATCCCACAGGTGAAGCCATCAGCCTTTTCAGTGAATGTCCTTCTGGCCGTTACATATCTGACCTCTGCAGCTCAGATTTACTGATAAGGAAATCCCAGCCCCCTGATGTTGAACTAATGGAGCATTCCTGGCTTCCAGAACTGTGGAGTTTAACCACCATCACTAATTCATAAATAGTTACTACAAAGCCATTAAATTAACTGGTGGTACTGGTGGCAACACTTACAGCATCAGAGAGCTGTGCTACCTAGGTTGCTGCAGAAGATAATGCTTGAAGGCTGGGGTGGTGAGATACCACTTCATAGCTCTTTACAACACTTATTTCTGCTGGTGGATTTTTATTTATGGTATAATGATAAAAAAATGCATTTCTGTGCTCTAAGTATTCAGAGGAGAGAAATTTTATTTTCAGGACTTCCAAAGTTTGTGCTTGAAATGGATATGCTACACCTGATAATCTCAGATGTATCTGTGAATCTGTATTTCTATGATAGCAATATATGCCTTAAAAATCCAGACACACAATGGGAGCTCAGGACCTGCCAAAAGCAAAACCTCTGTAGAGATGCTGCTTCTGTGCACAAAGGTACATTTGAGGGCTCTGGTCTGCCCCCTGACTGATGGAGCTCCTCAGGGCCTAAGCTGACAGGTGACTGCTTGAAGGAGGCAAACATACAGAGGTGGAGAGGCAGACACCAGCCCCCTACCTCGTGGCAATTCTGTATTTCAGCTGATTTTCCTATTTAATGGCACTTCTTAAAGATGATGTGTAGGCTTTCCTAATCATTTCCTTTTTAAAATTCTTCCTTCACGATTTTGTTTCATTTTTTAAGGAGGAAATTATTACGACAAGAATCACATCATTATGAATCAGCTGACAGAAGACAAACATTCACAAAAATGGGACATTGAAATATTGTAAAACCCACCACACAGATGGACCTTGTGTGGGTTATTAACACCTAAAGGGGAAAAAATAACCCCAAACTACTGAAGTCAGACACCACTGGAACCTTAAGCAGCAGCTCCTCTCCTCTTTCCTTCGTACCGAACACCAACTCCTAGAGCAACCAAATTGTGCACAAATCTGGAAGATGGGAGGTTGATCTAATGCCTTTCTGCAGGGAAGCCGATTCTTCAGAGGCCGTTCCTGTGAAAGTCACCATTACTCTTCATCTGAAGTATTAAAAATAAATGCAAAAGATGAGACAGAAGTTTTGCAGGATATGAACTGCAAGAGATAAAACAGGAAGGGCTCTTTAGGAATGTTGTCTTCATCTTCGTCTCCAACTGAGGGAAGTTCACTGAAGAATGAATGCACTAATGGGCTGGAAAGAGGTTGAGTTGGACTTTTATGTCTGAGTGAAACTGCAGGCTGCAAGTGATCCTGAAGCTCAGATCACATCTCTTGCAAAAAAGCAATTAATTTTGTTCACAAAGACAACTTTGAACTGGAATGACCAACTCGGCGTGTGAAATGGGGCCATACAGTAAGCCTGACTTTCACCTCCCCTAATGTTACTGGTAGGCCTTTGTCTTCATTTGTTTTAACAACTACATTTCCAGATTCAGGAACTGCTTTTTCTGACCCATGGTCCATTTCGAACCCATGAAATTTGAGTTAGCACTGAAGGTCACCTTGGAGCCATATGTGCATGTATCAAAAGAGAATAAGCGGTCCTGGGTCAGGTTAGACTTCTACAAGGGCTGGCTGCATTTAGAGCAGTAAGGATTTTAATTCTAGCTGTATTTTACTTTGATGTATATAGATTAATTTAATACAATGTAATTTGGTCTTGAAACCATGTCTTCCTTCAGAAAACAATTCACCCTAGTACATATTTTCCAAGGTGCTAGCGGCCTGCCTTTCAGCGCCTGCGTCACATTAAAAGAACAGCATAACCACACATTAGCGTTACTGCGGCTCATCAACACTGCAGATGAGACTCGGACTGGTGGTCCAGACCTTGGCATGGCAGTGCTGTCCTCAATTTCAACACTATGCAACCAGCCTACTAGTGACTGCTTGAGACAGACACAGCCCAGTACAGTACTGGATTGCAGCTGCTGCAGGCTTGAAAAGCACCTTCCTCACCCGACAAATGCAGGAGGAACTGCAGATGTTTGCAGGGCTGTGAGCACCTGATGTGGAAGAGAAGTCCCTTACATCACTGGTAACTGATCATCTGATTTCAGCATCACTAAATTAATCTACTTTATTGAAAATGCAGTAATTTTTTTCCTTATTTGTATAGTCAGAGTATGTATTTCTGTAACTATTTAAAGAGTTCAGGGTAGCTAAAGACAAGGTATTTTAGTTTCCAAAAGCTGTAACTATTCCAGTTGTGCATTCAAACAGGATTCATTCCCAAATAAACAAAACCACATAACCCTACGTTTGCCACAGAAATGAAATATATGGATGTCTATTTTTGTATGAAATGGAGTTCTATATAGTCCTATTTAAAAAAAAAAAAGAATCTGCTTGCACTTACTATTTTACATTCTAAAATTATCAGAAATTTGCTGTTTAAGTAACAAATTCAAATATATGTATATATTTTTCCAACTAAAGCACTCGATTAGCTTTTTTAATATGTCAGTATATCAAGCGTTCTACACGTGACTTGCTTTTCCATACAAAATTGTAAAAGCCTGTGTAAAAATTTCTAGTCTTTTAAAGCAAGAGTGACTATATTGTATTTGGTGTGTCAGGGTTACACAACAAAGTACAGCAGGCTTTTGTACTTAAGAGATCTTGAATGTAAGATGCTAAGCATGTATATTTTAATTGTATAAAACTTTTTTGAGGAGGAACATTTGCTTGCTGGTTTCTTTTTTTAAACAAATGAACTACAACATTAGTTTTTAGTAGAGGTCAAGCACATTCCTGTAAAATATTCCCTTTGAAGTGGACAAAGCGGGATGAGTAGGTGACCATGCTGTTGTGTCAGTTTGCATATTAAACAGCAGTGTTCAAGTATTAAAATAACTGCACTATTCCCATCACAACCCACTCAAGTGACCATTGGCAAGACAGATTCCAGTTACAGGTTTGGGTTACTTTCAAATTAAATTGGTGCTGGGGCATGCAGATGTTAAATACTATTGTTTGTTTATTCCACAGGTGGCAGCATCTGAGAGCAAAGGGGTTTTCTGGGGCAGTCTTACCTCTGTGGGAAACAACACACACAGCTTTTACTAAACAGAACAAATGCAGTTTTTTGCTGGCAAACTTTACAAATGAAAAAACAAGTTCCTGGGTTTTTCTCAAGCTCTTGGAGCCTGCTCCGTGTATACCTTTAGCTCTCCTCCACATTGAGGCATATATCCAGAGTAAAGGGAGCATCAAAGCACTCATGTTCCTATGGGTGATTTTACCCATCCACCTCCACAGAGCTATGGGTGACTGGGCAATGAGCAGCTTTCCCAGTTTTCCTGATGCCCGTTTTCCCAAAGCTAAGAAAAGAAAAATAACATTTGGTACCAGAAAGTAGCAGAGTGCAGACATCACAGTGTTTTGTTGGACAGCAATACAAATGAAAGGCTAGATGGATAAAAAAGTAATTTAATAAGCCTTTATGTCAAGAGATTTTTAATAGCTAGAAACACTACTTAAGAGCAGCAGCTAATTCACTAAAGCATCAAATAACTTCAATCAGACATTCAGTCCATAGTGACAAGGCAAGGTTTTCCTTCTCTTCATCTGAGGTAAGTTTAAGCTCTTTAACATTAACAGTGCTGCTACTCCAAATCTGCTTCAGTGCATCCAAGTATGACAAAGGAAACCGCAGTCCGTGAGTCTGCTGGGAAAAAAACATATTTAAAAAAAAAGTCCTTCAGCAAAGTGTAGTGTCCCTTATTACACAGCAGTGCATTGGGCTGTAGGTACTGATCAGCAGGTACATGCTTCTTTCCCATACCACACTGGTATTTCTTGAGCATCCTCCAAAAGATGCAGTATTTATCCATCTCTTTTCTGAATAGAAAAACAGCTGAAATCTCTTAAAAGTGTTCTACCACATTTATGAGGTAGGGAGGCTTAGGGTGTGTGGCTTCCTCATGTGGTTTCTACACTGAGGAATGACATAACTTTAGATTTACACTCTTGCCTAATCCTAACCTTGTTTAATTGGTTTTTTTTGGAAAGTCAAGTGAAGTGTCAATCTGGCACATGCAGTCCTTGCACACAGTTTGACAGAACCACAGAGGAGGACCTCCCTTACCATGGCTGGAGTCTTTAAGCGCAGGAAGGTCTATTACGGGATTTGCACATACTGTACAGGTGCCAGCGTACAACCCCAGCTACCCGTACTCACTACTGTAGCAGACCAATGAGATTTGCCTTAAAAGGTAAGGAAGAGCCAGGCAACAAGCCCTGCTGTAATTACTGAGACAAGAACAGGCTGTGTTCTGCTTTGCCTTGCAGTGTACTTGTGCAGCCCTGTGTTCAGGCATTCCAGGTCACAGCCCGAAGATACCGTAAAGTGGAACAAAAAGTTCCAAAGCTCACAGCCTCTCTTCAGTATTTATGGTTTGAGTGAAAGCACGTTGTATGTGCCAAATAATACTGGAGATGAACCATCTGCAGCCCTAATAACAACATGAAGAGTTCCCTCTTCACAGTTTAGGAAAAGAATTAACTCTTTACTCCCAGTGCTGATTCACCTCACCCTAAAATGGCCACCCTTATGTTCCAGATTCAAAATGTAACTTGGGTTCATAAACATGGCCCATGAGTCACAGTGATCCCTGCACTACTGTGCAGTAGCCTTAAGAAAGGCTGTGCTAAGGGGCACAGACATAAGGGACATCTCTAGCCGCTCCAGTAGCTTTGCTAGCTGGGACAGAAGGCATACACAGGAAATCCTGTTAATATCTCAAACATTTAATTAAGCATGAGATTGCATTTCTTAGTTCTGCTATTAACTGCCTCTGTGCTGCAGCCTCAGCTCATCCAGGTACTTAGAGAATGAGCAGAAATGCTTTGGGTGCTGAAGAACAACTCCAGAAAACTGGCCCCCACTACCATCTCAGTCAAGCCCACCTAACGCGGCAAAGCCCAACGTGGAAATGGGCCTTTCCTTGTGTGTCTGTGGGAACAAACCTGGGGTGTGCCTTCCTCACTAGCAGTATCATCTTCTGTCCCCATCATGTGAGACTCTCTCCTGTTCTTTAAAGAATGATACACATAAACCATCTCTCTGCGAATTTCATCCTAAAGGAAAACAAACAAACAAAAATCACAGCAGGAAGATAAAAGTTACATATGATCCACACCCTCAAATTCATGTCACTTAGGTGACAATGTTAGCTCCGTAATTTGGAGTCTACTAGCAGTGCCACAAGCACCCACTTAAGTGCAAAGATAACTCAGAAGTGAAGACTAAATGCAACTACAGTCAGCAACAGCTGCAAACAAGAGAATGCTCTCTTCGGAGGGAACCTGTTCTTATAAATCATTCACGCTTTTAAATGCAAAGAATTAAAAAAAAAACAACACCAAAACCAAAAAAAAAATCAATTTTAGCAGCTGTAATGTTCTATCCCATCTAACCCCAGATAAAAGCTACGCACCTACCATGCAGAATTGCAGACTCAATTTACTTCATAGCTTTCCTCCAGAAGGCAAGAACGTCCCATATCGCTGTTCTACAACCACCCCCGCATCTCCTAACAAACCCTAATGGGATGCAGGAGCCAACTAAGTGTAACTGTAGGACCCTTTCAGACCAGTACAACAGAGCAACAGCTCCCACACCTCCCACTCCATACCTCACCCCATGCATAGGAGGGCAGCTTTGTTGTATCACAGAATCACAGAACATTAGGGATT